GTTAATGTCTTTATTTAAAAAAAATTTCATTATTAAAATTATTAAGATTTTTTATAATATTTTTATAATTAAATAATAAAATTTTGGAAAACATATATATTCATGACAACAATTTTTTTTATAATTAATATAATGATTGAGATTCAGAATATATAATTCAAGAATCAAGTCTTTTTTGATGTTCTTATCATGCTCAGGAATCGTTGTTGCATAAGAATTTTATCGATAATTCGATATTAAATATTTCAAAGATAAAACGACATAATTATAATAATTACATTACAATAAAATTTGATACTCATAATTTGATATAATTGCCATTAATAAATATCATTATGTATAGAAATTTTTTATTAAATATTTTATTATATATTATAGAGAATCATTTTAATTTCTAATTTAATAATCAAATTAAAAAATAAAAATAACATTGAATAATTTATTAAATTTTTATATATTTAAATTTAAATTGTATAATTTATAATATCAAAACGATTTTAAAAGCTTATCATTCTCTATTAAATATACTGTTCTATTTAAAACATCGAAGAACTGACCTTGGAACTTCTTTCATACTTCATATTTTCCTTTCTCTCCATAGAATTTTAACTACTTTTTTTAACGTTATATAGTATGTATTTTATTTTATCGTTAATTGAATTCTTCTGTATGAATTCTTATTTTTATTATATTTTTCATAAAGTAAACTAAAACATATACATTCTATATATAATGAATAATATAGATATAACAATTATCTTTATAATTATAATATATATTTATAAAATATAATTCGAACATTTTTTATTCAATTTATCTTCGATGTTATATTGTAGATGATATATATAAATTATATAAGTAATAATAAAAGATAAGAATAAACGGAAATCATATAAAGATTTTGCATTCAATAGAGTTTTATTTCAAACTTATAAAAGATCATTTCATACAATTTACATTTAATTTTTTTTTCATTACAGATATTACAAATATTAACATTTTTATTTCATTTTTGTTTTTAATGAACAACTTCAATATATAATTTAAAAGCGGATTATATAAAAAGTGATAGAACAATCATAAAAAAAAAATAATAAAGAAAATAATTAATAAGAAATAATTATGGATTGTTAAATAATTAAAAAAATTTCAATATTATAGAAATAAAATATCTGATATCATTTATTTTTCGAATAGGAAAATATATTATTCAACAATTTTAATTTTCATAAGTTAAAAAAATTACAAGAATTAAAAAATTATCTATACAAAGTGCATATTTTATTCAATTTAAACATTCATCTTTCTCAATTATCCTTAAATTCTATGTTATTGTTTCAAATTTAAATTTATATTTCTTTAAAAAAAATTTTTAAATTCATTGCAATTTAAAAATTCCTTTAGATGTGTGATATAAATTTACACGCATCCTTGTTGCTCACTATTTTTTTTTTTGTATGTCTACGAAAAATCAATAGTCTGTTTATTCCTTAGACTTGGGAAAGAGCCAGCTGGTACAACCTGGGAGCAAATCATCTATGCTAAGAAGCTTTACGAGTCGGCCTTTCATCCCGACACCGGTGACCTGCAAAATGTCTTTGGCAGAATGTCCTTCCAAGTACCAGGTGGAATGGCTATCACTGGTGTTATGCTTCAATTCTATAGGTAAATTGTCTCTTTGTTCATTTTTCAACATAATTTCAATATATAATTTCAAAAAATGAAATTTATTAAAAAACCTAATTAAAAATAAAACTGATAATTATTAAGAAAACAAATGGCTGATGCTTCAATTCAATAAGTAAATCTTTTTACATATTTTTTAGCTTTAAGTAAAAAATAATATTTATTAAGAAAACAATTATAAAAATTAAAAATTATAAATATGAAATTTAAAAATTAATTTATTTTCATAAATATTTTATTTTATAAAATGAAATATTCTAAAAAATGAAGAAATTTCTGTTTCTACGAAATTATTGATAATTTCTTAATTTTTTCATATTATGCAGAAGCAATAATCATAATTTTTGTTTATAAAATCATATTTTGTTATTTTTATTTTTAAATTTATAAAAAAATTTTATGACACATTATTCATTGATAACAATTGCAGAACGACTACAGCTGTGGTATTTTGGCAATGGGTGAACCAGTCGTTCAACGCATTAGTGAACTACACGAATAGAAATGCCAACAGTCCTACAACCGTCAATCAATTAGCGGTTGCATATATCAGTGCTACCTCAGCAGCTATGATAACTGCGATAGGATGCAAGTCGTTTTGGGCAAAACGAGCAAATCCGCTTATGGCGGTACATAATAATTTATTTTTAAAAAATTAAAAATATAACTATTACGAAATATATATATATATATATATATATATATATATATAAATTTAGCTTAATAAAATAAAAATCAACTATTATATAAAATAATATAAATAATATAAAAATGTAACTATTAATAAAATTTAAAATTTTAATTTAATTTTTTTATAGCGTTATGTGCCATTCGCTGCAGTAGCTGCTGCAAACTGTGTGAACATTCCTTTAATGCGTCAGAACGAAATCACAAAAGCGATTGAAATTAGTGATGAAAACGGCAATAAGTTGACAAAATCAAAAGTAAGTTACATTTATTTTACTATATATATATAAATTATAATTTATTTTACATCAATAATGGAAAATAAATGTATAATCTTTTTTAGCTTGCGGCAGTTAAAGGTATCAGTCAAGTAGTCATCTCGAGAATTGTTATGTGTGCACCGGGCATGTGTAAGTAAAAATTAAATAAATAATAAAATGCACTGTGAAATATATATTATTTTAATGATAAAAAAATTTGTATGGTCTAGTAATCCTACCGCTCATCATGGAAAGATTAGAAAAATATACTTGGATGCAAAAAATCAAACCTCTTCATGGACCCATACAAGTTTTATTAGTTGGTTGTTTGTGAGTATTTTTTTTAATATTTTTATTTTTATTTAAAGTATAACAATAATAATTACGAGTCAAAATATAATAGTTTAAAAGATGAATATATATATAAAAAAAAATAGATATATTCATTAATATTTCAGTCTAACATTCATGGTGCCTACAGCATGCGCATTATTCCCACAAAACTGGTAAGTTTCTATATATTTTTGCATATATTTTATTAGGATATTATTATCGATTTTATATTTGTTTCTTACATAAGTAATTGATTAATTTAACAATACTAAAACTAATTGATAAGTTTTAAACTTATTTATATTTCAAACAAAATATAATTTATTTATACCAAAAATCAATTTATGAATCTATGAAAATCATTTTTAATATTAAATATTCATTTACTGACATAGGAATTAGCATAGTAATAATATCTTAGATATTTTATCTAAATATAATTCATACATATATTTAATATATATTTTATAGCTCAATTAAATCAAGTACTTTGGAACGCTGGGAGCCCGAGAATTATGAACTTTTAAAGAAGAATTGTAAAAATAGAGAAATACCCATATACTTATACTTTAATAAGGGTTTATAATGCACGAAGATAGTAGTAATAAAAGATCATCAAAGGGTATTTTTTATGACCCTGTATAAGATAGCAAATTAATTAATAATGGAATTGAAAAAGATTTTACATACTGTAAATCGCCGGAATCGTAGTTTTCTGCTGGTTCAGAGGATAATAACTCGTTCCGAGAAGAACAATATATACGACAATATTGCATTTCAAATAATTTTTATTTTATATAGCAATACAATTTATTTATAAGTTTTATTATACATATGTATCAGTGCATTTATTGCCCATTTTTACATTTTTATCAATAATGATTATATCTTAATATGGATAATAATGAAAACTAACATACCGTTTATTATTTTCTTATACGCAAAACATTTCAAACGGCAATAATTTTTCTTTCTATTAAATTATATATGGAAATACGATCAATAATTTTATTCACTTAAACAAATATATATGATAATGATTTAAAATGCGATATCATAATTACAAATTATATTGTTAAATTCTGCGTTCTAAAACTTGAATAATTGTCCATATTTTATTGTTTTATTGTTACTACCTCCTTGAACTGTTAAACGTTACAAAAAATGCTGCCACGTATGTATATTTTAGTAATACTATAATAAATACTCTGGAAATTAAACGTATTTATTTTATTTATTATAGTTTTAATTTACAATTGATTACATAATAAATAAAATAACAATAGAAAATAATGCAATTTAGAACATGTATATGTGTATTACGTAAAAAACTATATATTTGGTCGAGAATGCGTAGGTTGATTTTGTTGTGGCATATAACCGATACGTTCTTGAATTTCGTTTTGCGGTACTTTACCACCCCACGAAGGAGGATTAAATGTTGGCGGTCTTTCTGATTCTTTCTTAGCTTCAAGAGCTTTCCTCATTGCTTCATATTCTTGCAGATCATCTAATCGTAAGTCGATTCGTGTTGGACTTCGTCGTATCATTTTAACTAAGAAGAAGTGCACCTTTTTTTCAATATAAAAGTATTCACTGCAAGCTGATGATTCACTGCAATGAAGAATGTTAGTAATAAAAATAAAAAAATGAATATTTGCTTTTTTTAATCCTTAATATTAGATATATAATTATCTACAACATATCATAATATAATAATTTATTTTAAAATACTCTTACATATTTTTGATTTTAAACTGTTAATTCTTATTAAAAATAGAAATTTTAATAATTAAAATTTTTTTATTGTATTTCGTACTATATAAATGAAAAAAATATCTTTTTATATATATTATATAGTACTTATACATATTACACAATATACATGGAAAACTTAAATTCATTATAGAATTAATAAATGTATTAGTTTTACAGAAAAATAAATGTAAATTTAAAAAATAAAATAAATATGATAATAAAATTGATTTAATAAAAAAATATTAATGTTTAAATTGATAAAATATAAAATATTTAAAATGAAAATAAAAAATTATTTATACGGGGTAAAGAACCATATAAAGACACCCCTGAACGTTAGGTTAAGATGGCGGATTACAAGGAATAGATAACTGGCCAGTAATAATTCTAAAATAAATAACACTTTTAAGAATGCATAGATTACTGAGCCATTTATATTCGTGAAAATGATATTTTTCCTACGATATTTCATACGAATAGTTCATAGATTCGCATCATTTACAGAACTAGCGTGAAAATGTGGGTACAACAAGGGATTTGGCCGCCGTAAACACGCTTCTGATCGAGTGCTACAATTTTCGTTAATTTTGTCACGGCGGCAAGCACTCCTCTTTAGTAAATTGTAAATAATTGTAAATTAAGCACCAGGCAACGAAGCACCAGCACGAAAGGATGCTTTACTTGGAAGATTATGTTGAAAGTACGTAAAAACGAGGCATGCTCTGCTTACCCAGCTTCTCAAGAAAGTTACTAACCTTTCCGAATATACTCTCTCACACAAACATCAGTAACATTTCTCAAAGCGAATATCTTAGTTAATATTATATTATCACATATAATTATTTAAATGCTACCTTTTATTTTAGTGCCAAATTAAATACCGCGTAATATGAATAATTACTTGACATACTGTTCTTCATAAATTTTAGGTTAGTTGTATGTTTTCTAAATAGTCTATAATTTCTTTGCTCTTACCAATATATTTTGGAGTTAAGTTGTAACTTGTAATATTTTTTATGATTATAATGTTAACATTATAATAATTAAACTAAATAGATAAATATTATTTGTTCTTCTATATTTGATTCTTTTAATTTGAGTTTGTTTGGTTATGTTGATCTTCTTCTTTTGCGTTTCAGTGATCGAGCACCTTCCTCAAGAATTAAGAGATCGGTTCACAGAAATGAGAGAAATGGATTTAGGTGTACAGAGTATGTACTTAATTATATAGTATTCTAAATTTATATTTAAATTTTACATCTATAAATTTTACATCTATAAAAGAATAATTTATTTCTATTTAAAATATATTTGTTTTTTGTGAATTATATTAATAAATGAATAATAAATAATAATTATTGCAGACTCAATGGACAGTTTAGAAAAAAAAGTAAAGATTTTTTTCGCAAATGCAAAGAAAATGAAACCTAGTGAAAAGGAAGCAGAATATGAAGCTATTAGAAGAGAATATTATAAAACTCTAGAAGATGCAGATGAAAAGGTGCATTTAGCCAATCAGATGTATGACTTAGTAGATAGATATTTGAGGAGATTAGATCAGGAACTGCACAAATTTAAAATGGAATTAGAAGCAGATAATAAAGGTATCACAGAAATATTGGAGAAGAGGTCATTGGAATTAGATCAACCACCTACAAATAGTAGTCAAAAAGAGAATCGATATAGCTTTACAACATCCAGTAGGTCACGAGACAATCATAGTCATTGTACGTATTCTTTCTAATTATATATTTTATTTAATATAACAGATAATTTATATTTATATAAATCATTATAGCTCGGGCAGAAAAAAGAAGAGATTCAAATGCATCTTCTACATCAATAGAAAAACGCTTAGCTATAGAAAAAATTTCACCAAGTCTTCCTGAATCGCGACCAGCTTCTGTAAATTCAGGACCAATTATTGCCGCTACTAGCGTGCCATCTACTCCTACAGCAATCGCGAATTCTGTTGGTTCAGTAAGTTATAATCTCGGTCATATAGGAGCTGGTGGAAATGCCATAGCAGCTGCAGCATCGCAAGCAATTGCTGCGACGCAACAAATGCAACATGGCAGACGTACTGCTAGTTTAAAAGCTAGTTACGAGGCCATCAATACTGGAGGTATACATGCAGCTGAATTTAGTAGAGAATTAGCTGGTGCTGCCATTGCAGCTATACAAGAAACAATAAAAAACATAAAAAGTATGCCTTAAAATATTTCTATAATATTTATGAAAAATTTCGCTTTCATTTTCTAAACTAATATTATTTCATATTTTTAGAAAAGTAACAACTGCTGTACCAAGTTCAAGTGTAGTTGCTGCCTCAGTTCAACAACCAGTATCACCTCCAGTTATAACTACAAATACACAAGTCGTAGATTCTGATAATCCAGATTGGACTTATGATCCAAATGAACCAAGATATTGTATATGTAATCAAGTATCTTATGGAGATATGGTTGCCTGTGACAATTCAGACGTAAGTTTCTCTTTGTTATTATATTATATTTTTGTATCAATCAAATGAAAATGTTTATATTTAATAATTAATTTTTCTTTTATTATTAATTTTTTATAGTGTCCTTTTGAATGGTTTCACTATCCATGTGTGGGTATCACTGCACCTCCGAAAGGGAAGTGGTACTGTCCTCAATGTACATCTTCTATGAAGAGACGCGGAGGTCGAAAAAACTGATTGTGCTATAATCAGTGCAAATATAATGAGAAAAAATTGATACTACCTCTTAGGCATTGTCCGTCAAGTACCAACTTAGTTAGGAAGCTATTAATTCTGATTTTATATGACTTTTTAAATATGTTTAAAGTTTAAGTCATGATCTTATCTGGTCTTGATCTTGTCTCACAAAAATTTCTGTTTTTACAGCAGAAAAGAGCAGTTTTTTTACTGCGTTTTGTAGACATAATGAAAGGATCAAATGGTGTAAAAAGTTGGCTTTAAACAAATTCTGTTATATAAAAAAAATTTTGACATACAAAATATTGCAATTATTTTTTAATACTTTTTGCACCATTCTATACCGTGACCACTAGATAGTTTACAAATTTACATTGAAAAATGATTTTTTCTTCTGGTAGAATACAATATGATCTATTGACTGAAATACCAGAAGTGATTTTCATTGTGAATTTTTCGAAATTTATGTTTTTAGTTCACGCAATATCGAGCAATCTTCGTATTTACGTCCTCGTGTTAGTTCAGACGTGCTTAATATCTCGCTGGATTGACGATTATGCGAGCAATAACATTTTAAGTGTTCTATGCTTTAAGAAAGAAACAAAACAAATGAAAGACAGAGAGATAAAAGCGATAACAAATTGTGAGAATACTACTTTCGAAATGAAGGAATGTAGCAACTTGATGTATAAATAAATTGAACAATGCAGATTTATTATTTGTGTTATTGACGTTCATAAATGAAAAATAAAAAAAATTATGACAGCTTCTATCTGTTACCAATGAATTACGCTAGATTCAAATGTCATTTTTTTGTTTTAAAAGAAATCCTATTCTACGAGGAATGTCACAAAATCCCATAAAAAAATATAATGAGATCATAAAAACTAAAAATGTTTCGATTGTCAAAATAAATATATTGTCAAATGACAATATATAAAATGTCATTGTAGCATCAATTTTATTATCGATTGATATAATAATTTACGACTATATTGTATCTCTGGATAAACTACAGTATGCTGGAATATTTCATTTTTAAAATAATTTAAGTATTTTATTATTTTTAGATCACTTCCAACATTAATATGATTAGCTAATTCTAAATTAATTTATCAAAATAATTCTACTTTAAAAAGAATGTTATATTAATGCAACTTTCATTTTTATAATTTTATATTTAAAAATAGGAATATACTTATTGCTGAAATTATAACAAAAAAAAAACAAACTAAAGGGAAAAACCAGTGTAATTATAATGTTGATTCAGTGATTCATGATGATATTACCAGAAACCTATAATTATTGACCTTCTTCACTCCAGAGCACGTCTGACCTTGCTTCTTGTTCCACTTCAAACATTTTACTATTTAAATGAGTAATATTGCGACATGCTTTTTATACATAAATGAAGATATAATTATGATCGGAAGTAATTTACACTAAATTACTTGGCAATACATTTTGTACTGTTTTATTATCACGGAAAGGATTATTGCTCCTTTGTTTGTAAAAGGTCGCATATTATTTTCGTTCCGAAAGAATGTACGAGTTAATGCGCTTCTCTAAAATGTGCTGTAGGATATTCTCGTTATATATAAGGGAGACTTATTGAGTGAAAATTTTATTATTCCAAGTGTTTTGAGTTAAAGAAAATTATTTTCCGATATTCGAATATGTTTCATATATTATGCGCGGTTTTGTTTGTGGGTATTTTGAAAAATTGTATTCTGGCACAAGATACGATTACTTTTGACAGTACAACTACAACTATGTCGTCAAGTATGCAGAGAATTTAAAAAAAATTAACAAAATTGTTTTTTACGTAAAATGATTTTTTAAATGCTGAGTAAACATTGAAAATTTTTTTAAAACCTCAATTTTTATAAGTTATTAAAATTAAATTATATTATATTATTATACTATTATTCTATAAATTTTTAAGACAAATTTTGAATTTTTTTTAAATTTAATTTGAAATTTATTACAAAATAAAAAGAATTTATATTTTTAGTTAAATACTTTTCAAAATAGAATTTGTTTTTTACTATAAAAATTATTATTTAATATAATATCTTAATGAAGTTGATTTATCATTTCATTATACATATATTATATATATATAATATATATATAAAAAATATAAAATTAAATTTTATTTTATCACAAATTTTTTCTTATATTTAAGGTCAAAATACATCGTGTTGCGTTTTAAAAAATAATTGTCCATCTATCAATCCAGGAATTGATTTTCGAATTGTTAATACGGTAAGTTATTTATTATTTAATTTATTTATTTAATATTTTGTAATATTTAAATAATTTTTAAGTAAATCCAAAGTTATGAATGTTTAAAAAAATATCTTTAATTGTTTAAGGCTTTTAATTGTCCCGAAGGGCAAGTATATTGTTGTTCATCTAACTCGGGAAACTTATTCGACACTACTTGCGGTATCAGAAAAATCTCGCCATCTTCACATCCTCAAGGTCAAGCCAGTTACGGTGCATATCCTTGGCAAGCTGCACTTTTAACAACTAATAATAATTATATTGGTTCTGGTGTACTTATTACATCAAATCATGTGCTAACTGTAGCTCACAAGGTAACATCTTACATGTAAGTGATTTAAATTTTTATCTTATTTGAATTTCATAAAATATAAATTTTTTTAATTATTTTTATATATCTTTATATCTTATTAAATAAGTGGAATATAATATTTCGATCAAAAATATAAATTTGTTTATAGAAATGGTGGACTTAAAGTGAGATTAGGAGAATGGGATGGCCAATCTACTAATGAACCTTATCCATATCAAGATTATTCAATTAAAAAAATATCTATACATCCTGAATTAAATTCCCTTAATCTTCAAAATGATATAGCAGTAATAACTTTGAATAATACTGTTCCGATTTCAAGCAGTCCTAATATTAACACTGCATGTTTTCCTACAGCAATACCTGCAGCTAATACAAAGTATATAAAAAAATCATTTAATATTAATTTTTATTTAATTATTTAATATAGCTTTATTTAGTATAAATTCATATTCTTTTTTTAAGATGTTGGGTATCAGGTTGGGGAAAGAATGCATTTGGAACAAATGGCAAGTATCAAAGTATAATGAAAGAAGTAGATGTACCTATTGTTGATCAATCAACTTGTGAAAATGATCTACGGAAAACTAGACTTGGACAATACTTTATATTAAATAAAAATAGTTTTATATGTGCAGGAGGGGAACAAGGAAAAGATGCATGCACAGTAAGTGATTAAACTATTAACTTAGTTTTAATAAATATTTCAAATATATTACATAATTTATATTATTAAATAAATATTATTTTAAAGTTTATTATTTTAAATTTTCTAAAAGTTATCATTTAATCAAGTTATCTTTTTTAATCAAAATTTTTCTAGGGTGACGGAGGTTCACCATTAGTATGTCAAAATGGAAATGGACAATGGCAAGTGGTTGGAATGGTTACATGGGGTATTGGTTGTGCAACTAGTAATGTTCCTGGTGTATATGTAAATGTATATAATTATATTTCATGGATTAAACAACAAATAAATTAAAGTAAATAACTATATATTATATATAATATATATAAACTATATAATATATATTTTTAGTATATTAAAATAAATAACTATATATTATACAGATAATAAATTTGATTAATATTCAATAATTTATTTAAAATATTGAATAATATATATAATGCATAATATGTTACAATTATACACTTTATGAATTTGTGGATATACTTCCTCCTCACCAATTTTGATGACCTTGAAATATATTGTAAACATCTTGAGTAACTTTCTTCGACACATCGACGGTTAGCTTTTAGCTTTCAAATTATTCACAAAAACCTTTCATACTACACTATTAAAATATTATTATTATAACTATTATGTGTGCATCTTTAATTGTGTATCCCTCAATAGTAAAAATTAATAATAAAAAAAGAAATTAAACAAAAGATCACAAGTTTTAAATTTAATTATGTTATTTTTTATGTTATTTAAGTTAGATTACATAATAACAATTTTATCAGAACAATTAAAATCAAAATAAAAATAATTTATTCATATAATTGAGTCTAAAAATTGAAAATGAAATTTTTTTGCTTATAATTTATAGAAGAATGTATAAATAATACGATGAGAAGTTAAATATTGACGATACATGCTGTCATGGATGCACATGTATAATCAGAATTTAATGATACAGTATGGCGAATCTTTTTATGTGTACGTGCAAAAAATTTATAAATATTTATTGAATTGTTAACATACCGGATAATTTTTAATAAGCTAGTTTCTTTGTAAAATAAAATCAAATTTTACTTAAATATATTATAATAATTAAAAAAAATATATGAATAATTTATAAACATATAAAATAATATCGCTAAAAATGGTTCATCAGTATACCAGCAAAATTTTCGTATGTATTATTTAATTTCGTATGTATTGTACTATAAATTCGCCATACCTAATATTTTGATTACCAAAATATTTTTTATAAATAATTCGAAATTTTAAAACTAAAATTATATTTGAAAAAAAATGTCCTTAACAACATATTTAAAATTTATGATCGATAAGAAAAGAACGTATCAAAAGATTGATCATACACTTATATTTATATAAAATTTAGAAAGATTTTTATTTTTCTAATATTTCATAATATAATTATATAAATGTACTAATTTAAGTACAAAAAAAATAAATATATGTATATTTGTATGAATTACTAAATATATTATTATTTATTGATTCATTCCTTTAGAAAAATAATAATATATTATTTAAAAATAATTTTTTTTGCAAAATTTTTTATATTCTATATTCTAATTTTATTTTTCTGATAAAAATAAAATGTATAATTATTTTTATATATATATTTTGAATATGATGATATATCTATTTTATTTGTGTATTAAATGCGTAATCATTTATAAAGCATGACTGTTAAGTAAATCCTTTTTGAAATTTCGAAATGATTATGTATTGTTTGAAATATATCAAAACATACTTTATCTAATTACATAAATTTCACATGAAAAATAAGCTTAACATATATTTTAAATAAAACATTTCAATTTTTGAAATAATTATTACTTTTATTGATGAATTAATTAAAAATAAAAATAAAGTTAAATAAGTTCTTAACAATAACAAAAAAATAACGGATAAACTTAAGTAAGGTTTAAATAAAGGTCAATTCATGAAAACCGTAAAGTGCATTCTACGTAAATACGTAAATTATAGATAGAGAATAGAGGGCTTATCGTATTTGACATTTGTGGGAGGAAAAGTACTGATTGTTTACAATTTTCTAAAAACTCAGCAGTCCGGAGAAATACGTAAATGATAATGGATGCCAACATAGATGATGACGGAACACATAGCGAAATAGGTATGCTTTTTTATATAGTTTATATTTAAACGTATTTAATTTTCCTTAATAAATTACAGGTTATGTGTCGAGTTTTTCACATATTGTTCTAAAATGAGGAAAATTATTCTTGTCAATTATTTATAAAATGTAAATTATATTTTCAAAATATTATTAATTTTATATATACGTTATTTTCATATAATAATATCGTTGTATTATTGTATTACCTCCATAAATCACTCTAGATTTTTTGTTGATGAACATAAAAATATTTTCATTATAAAGGAATAAAGCAAAAGAATAAAACATTTATTTTATAGAAAATCCAGAAAACAGAAACAGTAATGACGAGGATTATTCAGAAGAAAATACAGATGAAACATCTATATCTACTGAAAGTACTTTTGATTTGACTCTACCAACAACACATTCTGTAAGTTTTCAATACATATTTATATATTTATTATAATTATATATTATTTATAATAAATAATTATAATAATTATTTTTTAATTTTAGAAAAATTTTATTTGAATTGTATTTGAAATTTTATTATTGATAATAAATATTATATATTAAATTTTCTTTAAATTAAAAATTTTTATAGAATTGAATTCATTTAATAAAATTTAATCATTTTAATAATATATAAATATATTACTAGTATTTAGGACATAATTTGGAAGAACTTAGAGGAAGGACAATATTAGATGATGGACTTTACGTAAACTTACCATTGTTAGTAAAGCAGTCTGTTATGTTATTTCCTGGACAAACATTACCAATGACAGTATTTGATGCACAAACCATTGATATGATAAGGACATGCATTGAAAATGATCGGACATTAGGTGTTGTCTGTTTGGGATATGATAAAATGGTACCAATAGGTACAACTGCAGAAATTTATGAATGCATGTATGATCCTGATCAAGGTTTTCGTTTAAAAGCTAAAGGTAGACAAAGATTTAAGATTTTGCGAGTTATAATTCAGGTAAGTTTTAAAATATATAATAATTTAAAATATAATATTGCAAAATATATAATCTAAAAATTAGATATCAAGAATAATAATAAGTTAATAAAATTGCAATAAGAAATAGGAATCTTGCTTTAATGAAACAATATTTTTTTAAATAAATTTCATTTATCCTTTATATAATCATTTCATTCTTATATATATGAATATAGTGTTGCATTGTGATAATTTATGTATTTTATGAAATATAATGTTATTTATAATTTATAATATAATATAATGTTATTTATAATTATAATTATATATATAATAAATAATATATTTATTATTAAAATATAAAAAATTATTAAAATATTTAATTCTAGGGATATGATAAAATATCAGCTCATGTACAAGTTTTACCAGAAATAACTCTTGGACCACCATTTTTGGATGAACGTTTAGCATCATTAGATCATTTACGAATACAACCGAAAAGTGAGGAAGATTTTAAAAAACAAGAAAGAGTAGAAAATTTAGATGCTATAGTAACTCCTTGGCCTGCTTGGGTATATCGGCAATATGATCCCTTAAGACTTTCGTTAAAAATACGACAACGTTTGCAGTTTATTGAGAGTAGTATGTATTTTTTATGGTATTTTAATCAATTTTTATATTATTTTTATATTTATATTTAATATAATAAAATTTCATAAGTTTTTTACCATACATTATTTTAATTTAAAACTATGATACATTTTAGAAGGAAGTAATATACCAGAAGATCCTGCAGATTTATCATTCTGGGTTGCCCAAAATTTGTTATTAGATGACAATGAAAGAATCGTTTTATTAAATTACGATTGTGCAATTTCAAGGCTACAAAGAGAAATTAAATATTTAGTAGAAGTATGTACAATAAACATCTATTAATAAATACTGGCATTTTTATAATTTTAGAAGTAATAAATAATATATATTATTATTTTATAGGACAAAATATTTGTTTGTTCTAATTGCGATTCTTACATTGGAAGGCAATCACATATGTTTCCAATGAGTAAAGAAGGTCCACAGGGTACTTACTGTAATCCTTCTGGAATTATACATGAAACTGTAACTTTATATCATGCACAAGGCCTTACGCTGAGTGATAATCCATCAATAAATTATACATGGTTCCCAGGGTAAGAATTATTTTTTTCATATATTTTTTTTCTTTATTTTTTAAATTATTATTTAAATTTTAATTTAATTCATTTTTATAGATATGCTTGGACTGTCGCAACGTGTAAAGATTGTGATAATCATATGGGATGGAAGTTTACAGCAGTTCAGAATAATTTAAAACCTAAAGCATTTTGGGGTTTATTACGTAAAAGTTTGAAAAGCAAAGAGAAGTGAGCAAACCAAAATTTAAATATATTATGCCGAAAAATTCGGTGATTAGTTTGGAAAACCCAGTGCATATTTCCCATATAGTTTTTTAGTATTATATGACTATGTGCAATTGTTTGTACTGCTTAGTTTTTGTGAGCTATCAATAACAATAATGTTAATTTTTCTAATTAAAAAAAAGACTACAAAACATACCAAAATCAGAATAACAAAAAAGTTATTTACTGTAAACATTGAATCGACTGAAGTATATGTAAATTCAATATTTAAGAGTATATAGAAATTAATTTTAAAGCTCCATGTGAAACAAAGATTGATATAAAAATGCTTTAATGTGTATACAATCTTATTTCACATCTATATTAAACTTTAGAATTTGTAAATTGAATTGAATGGTTCGATCATATTAAAAAGATACATTAATTGTTATTTTTGCAAAAGCAGTTTATTCTGCTCAGTATGTTTTTTATGAGTATCTAGATAATACAATTCATAACTTAAATTTTTTATGTAACTAGTCATTATGGGACATGTACATCCATCTTTAATATCAGTATAGTAATATAATAAGAATTTGTCAACGTACCTTGCTAAGAAATTCATAAATCAGAAGTTGCTGATGTTTAATAGTAACTAGATACAAATTTTTTATGAGTTGTTTTCATTTAATATGATGATAGTGATAAAAAGTATCAGAAAGAATGAAATAGTATTGGTTTTTCTTATTAATATGTAATATTTACATGTTTTCCTTTTTATATCATTATTTGGAAAATGCATGTACAGTTCTAAAATGAGTTTAACATCATGTCATCATTATTATACTGAACTTCAATAATTATATACAAGTTATAAACAAAGATATAATACATGTTATTGGAATATGATATTTTGTTATTTGTACATCAGAATTTAATAAATGTGAATTTAACGTGAAATACTTAGTCATTTACAAATTTTATGATTTATTATTATTTAAAAAAAAATATTTTAAATATATTTAAAAAAATTATTGTATTTTTAAAATAAATAGACATATGTAATAATGAAAAAATTTTTATATAAATAGAAGAAGAAAAAAATCGAAGGTGAGTATATATGGGAAAATAAAAAATTAATAAAAATGAATATTTAAAGGAAAACGGCAGGATATTATGAATTAAAATGCTTTTCTTCAATAATTTCTTGCGCATGTCGTATATTTCTCGATTACCTTAATTCAATTAAATTTGTTATAATTATATCTTTATCTCAATCATTCTCTTGTATATGTATCGTATTTTTTTTAATCATTTTGAATTAGCAGATATGTTTAACAATCTGCCACAAAAATTTAATCATTCGACGATAACACTTTGTATTATAGTACTATCATTCAGATATATTTTGTTATATATCGTAATCGTTTCGTACGTATTCGAGATTCGGATACGTTGATGACTTATTTATATTCATCATTTCGACAGTTGCTCGTCGTTTCCTGAATCCTATGTATGCTTGAATATTATTCGATTCTTCTGATTTCAATTCCTAAATCAATTTAATTGATTTAAAAATGTTGTTGGATGATTACAATGCGACGAAGTATATACTATAAATTATATATTTGTCTGGCCTAAACTTTGATGATTGACTTTAAAGAACATCAAAGAACTTCTTACTTTTAATTTTTTTTTAAAGCACCATAATTATAGTTCGTTTCTTGTATATTTTTCATAATTTATTTTTACATATTGTATATTGTATATTCAACATTTTATATTAATAAAACAAATAACTTTTAACTTTCTTGTATTTTTAAATTAAATAAACATAAAAGAATACTTGCAAAATACTTGTCAGATTGATTAATGTCGTCATTGTACGATAACATTTATTAATTCAATGATAAAATTGAAATATCATAAATTACATACTGATTGTGAATTTCAAGATGATAATCATGACTCAAATTTCAGGAATTAATTATTTTTAACTATGATTTTAAATTATAAATTCTTTTTGAAAAAAAGAAAAAAAAACAACAATTGATTTTCTTATGATTTTTTACATTTTAGTTTTTTTTATTAGCATATATCTATCTGCGCATTTTCACAATAATAATACATATTTATAATACATATATAACAGAAATCTTTTGTCTAAAACAGACAAATAGATAATATTCTGTTAAAAAATTTGTTCTAATGTTGCCAGTACATAAGCACTTTATAGTATAAATGTAATACGCCACTATATTTTAAATAAAAACACGCTTTAAGTGTCAATTGATTTTTCTTTTGTAACATAATTTCCTATTTGAATTTAAAAAAAATTATAAGTACAAAAGAAAATAATTGTTTGCGAATTTTTTGTCATGTTGAATTTTTACTCGCGATATATATCATTTTGAAAATGTTATTTACACAAAAAAGCTTTCTTATGTTCGTTCGAATATAGTTTACTTGGGGGATCCGAGTAATATATACACAAAAATTTTAGTTTAGTATAATTATCATTGTAAGTTTCTTATTTAATGTGTTAATTATTAAATCATGATCATTGCCTTTGACACCTGTATCATCTCGATCTACATAAACTTAATCATAGTAAAATTGCCAGACTTGTAAATAGTTCAAATTTACTATAGGTTAAATATGAGAATATTATTGAGAACGTATATAGGAGTATATTCGTCGCATATATTCGAAAGTATCCATTAAATTATATTCAGTATTTTTTGCAATACTCATTTTCAACGATAAATACTCATCTAATGAGAATAAAGTATCGGAATAAAATTAAATGAAAGATATAGACACGGGTCAGGAAAACGTACGTAACAGACTGTCGGTTTTTTGGGTCATTGTTGACTTTCATCTTGTCTCACATGGATGTTTTATCTGCCAGTTGTATACTTCGCGTATTCATACTTATTTATAGATCTGTAATATATATATATATATATCTTATTATATATTTAACAAAATATTATATAAAAATATTATATAATTATATAATTTTATATTAATAAAAATATAAAATTTGAATATTGCCAAAAATCTTACTTTCAATTTCTGATCCTGCAGAGATAAGTTTAGTGTGCGGCTGTGCAGTTGTGCTTGGTTGTTGATTACTCAATTGTCCTGTAGTTGCTGGTGCAGCAAAACCTGGTGGTGGCTGCATTGCCCAATGTTGAGTTGGTGCGTTCTGTTGTTCCTTATAAAATAAAAAGAATAACATTTTGTTATTCTAACAGATAAAAGATAAAATATTTTGATACTTATTTTTAACAAACTTACAATTTCTTATTTTAATCAAAATAAATTACGAATAAATAAAATAAGATATAATACAAAATAGAATACAATAAAAAATATACTATACATATACACAATGAAATATATTTGAATATAATAAAATATATTTTCATGAAAATATATCTATAATCAATGTTTATATAATAATAATACCTGTTGCGCATTATGTGATACAGTGTGTGTAGGATGAACATGTGGAAATTGCCATGTACTAGTAGTTTGGAATGGAAGAGGCCTAGAAGAACTAACAATAGCTGGATCAATCGAAGTCCAGTCTGCAATAGGTCCGAAATTGTTCCATCCGCCTTTTTGATGTAATGCTTGATGATGAAATTGTTGTTGTTGTTGTTGATTATTAATATCACACCAATCTTTAAGCGTATATACTGCATCTCCCGCACATTTACTAATACCTATTTTAAATATTAATGAAATTTCTAATATTAGTCATAAAAATAATATAAATTATTCAATCATTAGTTATTATTCTTAATCAATTATAGTATTAAAAAGTACCTTGTGAATTCAAAAGGGGGTTTCCATTTGGAAGATAGGCATTTTGTTGTGGTGGTTGTGCTCCTGTAAACAGCACACTAGACGAATGACTCATGTATAATATTATATAGATTTTTTTACAAAGTCACAAGAATTCACTTTTATACTTGGATAACACTTTGCTCACCACAAATACATATTTATTGATACTAACTTACTATTTCCAATTTATATATATATATATATATATATAAAATTCACCTTTATTTTCTAAAGAGTCAAAAGACTTTGTCAATATTCAACAAATGAATAAAGTAAACATAAAATATGTTTATGATTACTATAAATTATTGTCAAAATTACGAAAATACTAACCCGAAAGAGCATTGTTCGTGGGAGCTGGTCGCGGTATGCCAAGACCAAAAGAATTCATGTGATTTGGTGTAGAACCAGGGAAACCTGGTGGTGGAAGGCGACTACGTTGTCCCAAGCTAGCAGCAGCCACAGTACTCTGAGGGGGAGTTTGCGTACCACTTTGTAATAAATTTTGTGGAAGACGAGACAGCAAGGAATGCGACTGTTGAATAACTTGTAAATTTTGTAGATGTTGAGCCTGTTGTTGTAAATGTGCTATATGGGCAACCTAAACAATAATTATAAATAATATATAATATAAAAATGAAACTAATAAAATAGTTTTAATAATATTTTTATTATTATCATTAAATTATTAAATTTTTTATAATTCATTATTTTTTTACAATAAATTACCTGTGGAAAATGTTGTTGACCAAGATTTGCAATATTTTGTTGATGCTGTACCCTATTTTGTTCTTCTCTTTCTCTTTGTTGTTGTTGTTGAAACAACCTCTGTTGTTGAATTTGCATTTCATTTTCCATAAGTTCAGCCAAAGCTTTCTGTGTTTCATGAAAAGGATCAAAACCTAAATCATCATCTGCCTTTAAATCTGAACCAGATTCTTTATGATTTCGAACTTCTTCCAAAGTAGCATGACCATTTTGTTTTATGTATTCACAATTCTCTTGATTTTGTTGTGCCTTAAAAAAATTATAGTTATTTATTATTAGTATATTATTGTATTTTATGTTAGTTATAATTTAAAAGTATAATTTATTAATATTATCTTCTTTTTTTATTAATTATTTTTTAATTCTTATTATTTATATTTTATACAATTTTATATATTATATAAATATGTTATAAATAAATATGATATTTTATACCTTATACTTATATTATGATAATTTAATACCTTAATAAATAATTATCCATGAAATTATTTACCTGCATAGCAAGCCTTTGTTGTAATGAATTTTGTTGAAAATCTGCCATGAATTTAGATGCAGGAGAATTAACAAGCAAACTTGATGTAAAAGTAC